ATGTAAATATAATTATAGTAAACTGTAATACAAATAGTAAATTCAGTGACCAAATCGTATAAATTTCGTGATAAAATCAGTGATCAAATCATGTAAATTCTATATGAATTCCGTGCAAATTCCGTATCCAAACCATATTTTTAGTGATACGGAATTGTGCATTTTTCCGTATCCTATTATGATACGTTATTTCTAAGGAAAAAAATTGTATAAAAACTTTATAAAAAACGTATCCAATTTTTTTATAGGGAAAGATAACGCAAAAATGTCCGTCTGTACGTCTAACACGTGACGAAGTACAATAATAACCCTTAAACAGCACTTCGGGCTTAATAACAGTTTCCCCATTTCCCAGTATGTTAATGAACAGAAAGATATTTTCAAAACACAAGTAACCCAAAAGGAAAGCGTAAAGAAAGTAATAATATTGAACCTTCAGGAGCTGCTTCTTCACGTAAAAAATTTCCAAATAAGCAATACAAAAAGGAACGAAACGATTGGAACCCGAAGTGGCCATACACATATCCATACATATCCATGGTTAGTAAGAAGAGAGGATGAAGAAGGAAAGCCTTTTGTGTATTGCATCAAGCGTGAAGAGAGAAAAGCGAATAATATTTTTACAAAAGGTTTTTCCATTTCAAAATTAAGAAATAGTATAAATCACCCAAATATAATCGCCAGTTTTGTAACACAGTTAGGGGTAGAGAAATCCAAAATAATTACGCTAATGAGAAATATATATTTTTGTTCAAAGAAAATTAAGCACTTAATATATACCCTGTCTTGTTGAATATCAAATAAATAATCATAATGAAATCAATTATCAAGTACCGCCTACAAAAGTTTTACCACCTCCCTTATATGCAAAAACATTATCCTCAACTTTTACTTCTTCTAGTTATGTGGCCAGAAATAAATTTATTGAATCAATTTGACGTCTAATTGAATGTCAAGTCATAGAAGAAATTAATAAAAGTTGTTGGATGGAGCATTCTTTTGGATGTAAGTACCACAATTATTATCGATAAACATTTGGTGATAATGAGCAAGCACATGGTAGAAAATAAACCGGTTTTACGATACCTTGAATGACAAGTTGAGAAGAATGCAATGCAAATTCAATCGTGCGAAGATATTGAAATAATTTTAAATGCAAAAGGTATATCAGTTAGTAAGTCATTATATCATATAGGGCATCTGTAATATTAGGTAAAGTTAATTTATTAATTTTATAATTTTATTAATTTCATTACTTATACATACAGTATTTATTACGCATCTATATTTCTTTTTCTAGGAAAAAATACTGGAGTAGCTATGCAGCTAAAAATAAAAATCCATTCATGACTGCAATCCATTGCATAAGCCCATCGGTTCGCACTTGTTGGTAAAGATTCAGCAAAAGATGTACCATACTTTAAGGAATATGAATCTACTTTGAAAAGGTTATATAGTTACTTTAGTAAATCTTATAATCGGTTGAAAAATTTGAGATGATCCAAGCTAACGATGAGGATGATCTTGGTCTTACCATATTGAAATTAGTTTCAACGCGATGGTTATGATCATTATCACAAACGGTATCTAATTTACATCAAACTTTAAATTCTGTCATATCCGCTTTGCAATCATATATTCTTATCAATGAAGATGGAGCTGAATTATCAAAAAATCTATTAGCAGAATTAGATCCTAAATTTATTTTAACTACAAAATTTTTGGCTGACCTTTTTGACATATTACAACGATTAATCAAAGTATTTCAAGAAGATTTTATTACATTATCGGATGTACATTATCATTTAAATTCCCCAATTCATGCGATTAAGACAACATTTATTGCAGATAATGATACACCACCAGCGTATGCTAAAATTTTACTTGATTATATAAAAAATAATCAATTATCATTAGATTCAATTCCAAATCCCTTTCCCTTTTCACAATTTTCCTTATCTATGATTCAGAATATTAAAAGAAGATTTCCCTATTCTGAATTTTATCATTCAATGCGTATTATTGATGTACAACAATTATCTTTAACTCAAACTTTAATTAATGAGTATGGCGAAAAAGAGATTAAAATTATCTGTGAATTTTATGGTAGCCAAAAAGTTGATGGAGATGGTAATGTTTACGAACCAATAATTGATAAAGAAAAATTAGAAAAGGAATGGGCGTTTGTACGACAGCTTATAACTAATTTTAGAGAGTTCAAATTTGTTGAACAATGGTTTAGAATTTTTTCAACAAAATTTTCTTCTTTATATCCTAATACCTCAAAAATTATTTATATTATTTTAATGATTCCACTTTCCAATAATGCTTCAGTAGAAAGAGTTTTTTCACGTCAAAATTTAATTAAAAATAAGTTACGGAATGAGATGAAATTGGAACACTTCATTTTCATCTAAATATTTTAATTAATGGACCGTCATTAGATTCATAGTTTAAATTAGGTTATTAATATTTGCGATTTTAGGCAAGTACCCAAAGATGGAATATTATTCGATATATGTACAAACCCTATTTTTATTTATTCTTTTAATGAATCAATTTTATTATTTTTTGAGTTTCCCACTTTGAATAACATCATCTGTATTTCCTCAATTGGAGTTCGATAATCGATATTCATGTTAATTAGTATAAAAATATTTAACATCATCCACATTCAATCATTTCAAATTTTCATTTCCACCTAAAAAAAACAATGTTACTTTTTATAATTAGTTAATATAGATAGTAATAATTAGTAATTATATATACCTAAATTAGATTACCAACATTCGCAATTTTGGCATAGCAATATAATACGGTTCATGCATGTAGATTTTTAACTAAGACTCCCATAATCAAAATGAATTCGCTGGGTCAATTAAATTAATTATGAATTATAAAATTTGACGAATTCTTTGTAGTAAATCTTTTACAACCAAATTTGATTATAATTAATAATTTTGGCGGGCCTGGTGAACCAAAAACAATTATAAATCAGTATAAGCTTGTAGGAACATTTTAAAATCATAATAAAGAACACATACTATAATATAAATATATAATGTACTGCATAAACTAATTTCCAAGGATTCGTAGAACTTTACCAGTGATACACATATATGATTAAAGTTGGTCAAAATCAATTAAATCTTTCATATTTCTGATCAAATTTTGTTAATTCTGGCCAATTTCGTAATGCTGGCTTAAAACGAAAAAATTAGTTAACTGTTAATATGTTATATACCACATTTTACACAATATAATCGATCTAACTTAAATAATAAAATTTCATACTTATTTATCACTTCTAGAACCTTATTGTTTATTAAAAAAAAGATTTGCATATTCTTTTCAGCTTTTAATCTTTTTTTAAAAGTTGTATTGTTTGACGTTAAAAATTAATAATAGGTAATAGAAATTTGAATTTACTAAATAAAGTAGGAAAAATTAAGCTTTAATAGTTAAACAAAAGCAAGA